TGCAAGCTGAGGCTCCAGGCCAGCGTGTAAACGTATATACACATACATTGTCTCATCTGTTATATTTTGCATACAAACGTCTATTTGTAGAGCTTCAAAAGGTCCCCGTGTGGGAGGATGTGCAGACATTGTCATCTGTAGTCTTTCAACACTATCTGACACATGCCCCTTTTGCTAACATATGACAAGCCATATGATGTGTGCTAGACACGGGTCCAGGGAGCTAGGAGCCACAATGAGGTCATCATTGGGGACCAGCACATTATTTACATATTTACATCCATGGTAAATCCACAACCTATGTTCCTCTACATCAGTAAAAAGGAGGCATACAGCAGATCACAGGACCAAACCAGTAGGGGGCCGGAACTGGCTCGCAGATATCAATCGGTGTGAATTTTCTTCATCACTTCATCAACTGGTACTCTACACATACGCGTTCTGTCTGCAGGAGTTCAAAGAGGGTCGGCGAGCCAGCCACACAGCCCCCCAGGTGCTCTTCAGCCACAGGGAGCCCCCACTGGAGCTGAAGGACACGGACGCCGCTGTCGGGGACAACATTGGATACATCACCTTTGGTCAGTACCTGGCTGAAACCTGATTGTTAGCTCTGATTATTTTTAACTAATTTAGTTAAACTAACTAATGCCGATGTTAATGCTTGGATGTTTTCAGTCCTGTTCCCCCGTCACACCAATGCCAATGCCAGAGACAACACCATCAACCTCATCCACACCTTCAGGGACTACCTGCACTACCACATAAAGTGCTCCAAGGTCAGTTCAACTTAAACCTGGGTCCAATATCAGAACCAAATGCTGCAGTCGTTCTTTTAGAGTTTCTTCAAGGGTTTTCTACAAAAATGCTCTGTAGGGTCAGGGAATGTTTGTGAGATGGATGAATGGATGGATACAGTTCCCCAATATTATCTTTAAATAAAGATTCCTGACACAGGAACTTACCAAATAAAGCCTACCTAGAACCTGCACAGGAAAAAAACACCTTATTTTCCTGATATTTAAATGAGGCCTTTTAGATAATTAATGTAGTATTTTTTCTTTTTCTTGGCTCTAAATTTGTTTAAAGTTTAAATTTAAGTTTAAGTTTAAATGAGCCTGTTCTGGTATTTTTAATCATTGTGTTTGGACAGATAATCTGTTAACTGTAGTGATATTTTAAGGCGTAAGGTTCTTAGTTTAAGGGTCCACCCGGGCTAAATAAATCTGTGGGAAGCACCTGTTGAAAACTTGCACGATAGCTTTAATCATAGGCTGCAAACAAGCCATAAACCTCCTCTTGTGTAAAATTATGTCTTTTTAGTGCCTTCCCCTCAATAGAAAGTCCAGCCATAGGTGAGATCAAACAAAGCCCTACCTGGCAACAACTTGCTCTGCCACTTTGGCCTTTGTGTACACATTACACAACATGAGACATCCTCCTAATGGTTACTCAAATGCACTCGTATCAGCTGTAAACCCTAATCAAAGCCATATTTTGAATGCCTGACATTTCAGAGTAATGCATTAGGCCTTTCTGTTATTTTATAAGTATCCGGTGTTCAGGAACTGGATTTTGGATGTCCTTAGACAATAGGGAGTTTGTGTGGGTGACATGGCAGATAGATTTATGGACAGTTGTAGATGGGTTAAGCTTAAGAAAGAGTCAAAACAACCTTTCACTGTTGTCTTTGTCCCTGCTGCACACTGTGTTTAAGCACCTGACGCCAAATGTTGACACTTTAAACAAACAAAAGGTCTGCATGCGCATCCTCGTGTAAGATTCATTCCACTATTAGAAAACGAATTATGATCACTATTCATGATGAATACCTGATGGGGATCTCCCTCCTGCAGGCCTACATTCACACACGTATGAGGGCCAAGACGTCAGACTTCCTTAAGGTGCTGAACCGCGCTCGCCCCGACGCCGAGAAAAAGGAGATGAAGACCATGTCGTAAGTAGACTCTACCCTCCTTTTCCTGCCGATAACCACCTCTTCTTCTTCCTACACCATAGCTCAGATTCAGAGTCAACATTCACATCAGAGATCTCTGAACCAAAGCATTCATGCAAGAACAACAAGATAAGGGCTAAGGTTGACGGTTTTGTCAGCATGATTTTGCGATCAGAGGTTTTTGTTGTTTTGTTTTTTTGATGCCTTGAATCCTATTTTAGGATTTGGACCCAACTGTTTCATAACATAACAGATTCCTCCTCTCTGCCTGTTGCGCTGTGCATATGTTAAATGAAGACCTGCTGCAATGTTCATGAATCATGAGCATTTTTATGGGTCTTCATTTAAGATGAACTAAGAATGATTTTGCAAAATAAAAGCAGATTCGGCTTTGAGATACACTTATCTCTGCATTTTCTAAAATGATTTCTCTTAACATGGACTTTTGGTGCCAGTCGCGCAGTCTGCAGCTCGTATCGTTTGTTGGTTTTAGTGCGTGCTTGCTGTGCTGGCCAAGTAATATATATGCAAATGGTCTTGAAGACTGAATCAGAAGGGAATTTTTCAGTCCCGCCTTTCGCTAAAACAGTTGCACATACAGTTTTTTAAGCTTTGTAGCTCTAAAATAATTGGCAAATATACACTGTTGGAATATAGAGAGTCTTTGTTGTGTGGTTAATGTGTAACTGGAATAAGTAGGAGGGAACCCCCATAGCTGCCATCTTTTGTGAGTTTCAAATATTTCACGACACCTGGGTTTGGCTACAAAACAACTGACCGCTAAGAAATTCTCAGAAATACAAACCTGAAATGGAAGTGTCAATGATATATTGTTTGTTTGCTTGAAGACGTGGCAAAGCTCAAAGTACTTATCAGTGTCACTTGATCATGCAGTAGGCATTTGACAGTAATTGTGTGTGCTAAAACAGGTATAAACTACATACCAATGGAAATGAAGAGAAAATATGACAATAAGAATGGCTTTCTTGTCAAGAGTTTGATTGGTACCGTTCTTATGTCAGCCAGCATCTGATTAGCTTAGTTTAGCATAAAGATTGGAAATCGGAGGAAACGGCTAGCCATCCAAAAGTAACAAAAACCACCTCGCAGCACCTCTAAAGCTTACTTATTTGCACGTTGTATGTTGTTTGGTTCATCAAATACATTTTTATTTTCCTGTTTTCCTATTTCTTGGCTGGGAGCAACAATTTCCTGGAGCCTCTGCTGGCTGCCTGGAACCCTCACTGTGGTAGAAAAACTTCAAACGAGACAAAACATGTTAACTAGCCAGCTTCTGAGTGCTGTTAGGCAGGTTTCGTTACCCTCGAACAGGCTAGCTGTTACTCACGTTTTTAGTCTTTGGTCTCAGCTAATCTAGCTAAGCTTAGCATTTAGCGTACAGACATTTAGTGGTGTCAATCTTCTCATCCAACTCTCGACAAGAAAGCGTCAAACTATTCTCTAAAAATCATTTATAGATGAAGTGAAAGTGGCGAACAGCGTTGGATGTTGAAATATACTGTAGTTCATCCTGAAGGGTTTGAGGTGAGTACAAGGAAAGACAATAAATCCATTGTATGCCATCTAATATGTCTTTTGTTTGACTTTCAGTGGAAAGACCTTCTCCCGCTGAGTCCAGCCCCCCACCAGAAAAATCCAAACCCCCCTGGACATGCCCAAACGCGCTACACTGAGACTCGAAGCCACATCGGACAGGACTCCAGGACGCCTCTAAATGCCCCCGCCCAACCCCAAAACCATGTCCAGTCTTTCTTTTTTTTTTTTTTAATGAATAATAATGCTGGCTCTACTTAGGGAAAGCCAAGGCTCAAGATAAATGGAAAAAGGGCATTCCTTGCTTTGCATAGTTAAAGAGAATTATTAGTCCTATATAAATATATATATGAAAAAATTGAAATTTTTGATACGATATCTTTTACTCCATTTGGTACTCTTTGCTTGCCCCTCAACCCTCACCATGCAATATCCATGTGTTGGATGATTTCAATCCCCCCTTCCTCCCTCTCTGTGCTTTCATGTCGTGTGTACCATTGTCATTTGAAAAAATAAAATAAATCACTCTTACAAAAAAAGCATCTGGTAGTTGTGTGCTGACTTTGTGACTCTTGTACAATGCCTTATGACTGTTTTCTCTTTTGACCTCATGATATCCTCTTAAAACCATTGAAATAAACTAAAAATGATCCAAAATCAAGGTTGTTTATGACATTTTGGACATTTTAAGTTTTCACCTGACATTTTGTTTAATTTGTTTGCTGGGAACTATATTTATTTCTTCACATGCCAATTCTGAATATACATATATTTAATGTGTAGATGGTTGGTATTTTAAGTCCTCATATGTAGGACATTTATTAATGTTTATTTTCATCCAATTGATGTTTAGGCCTTTTCTTATTTTAGTTTTTTTGGTCAGGTTTGCATTCATCCTATTACACGTGGAGTAACAGAAGCTGGATGTTTCAGCCACTGGTGGGTTACCTTTAGCTATTTATTAATTTCCTCCGTTGCCTGCTGGCTAACTAGCCATTATGCACTCATTGACTACATTGAATGTAGACACTAAATACTGATTAAATGTAGAATTAGTTTTTTTTTCAGTGGTCTTACATTGTGGTAAATTGAATATTTTGGCTTTTATTCTGGTTGGACTAAAGACATTGGATGCTGTCTCCTTGATGGGAATATTTAATAATTTTTTGATAGACCAAACTATGAATTATTCAAATCCTTGTCATATTAATTTATAATAGACATAAATTTGCAGCTTCATAGCAATCTGTTGGAAAAGACCCCTATTTATTTCCCCGCCAAAGACACACGTGTTTATTTTGCAAAATCATAATACATATATATATTTTATTAGCTGCTCTACCTCAAAATCTTTCTGTGTACACCCTGGCAACTACAAAAGTATCCCTGCTTGTGAATCCTTGCACTTTGTGATTGTTCAAATATATTGTATGAAGATAAAATAAGTGTGTTGCCGCATAATTCACGTCTGAAAAGCATGAGGAAATGAAACTTTCTTTCCAAATTAAAAGTATTTATTTGATGACATATTAGTAAATACAGCTTCACAAGGTCATAGTAGCTTTATAGGTTTATACTGTTACAAGCAGAAAAAAGCTCAGGCTTTGGGCTTTTCATCTTCATTCAAGAGGAAGAGGAAGAGGATGAATCCTCATTTTTTATTTTCAGTGGGGCTGTTGCTCTGTGCTTTCTCGGTCTTGTTGATGTTTCCTTTGGCAGTTGCAGGGGCTTTATCTGCTTTAGCACCCTTTCCTGCCTGCACCTCCTGCTGCTTGGGAACCTCACCATCAGGCTTTTGTTGGTCTGGAAACAAGAATAATCAGATTTGACAGATTCAGTGTTTAGCATCCTTTTGGTTCTTTAGATTTCCTTTAATCTGGGTGTTTCTGCTAGTGACCATAAAGTCCCCAGAGTTTGTCAAAAAATGATATATATATATATATTTTCATATATATATATTCTTTTTGAGTGATTTGATTTGGGAAATAATGAGAATGATGAGAAGATCCACAGCGCTTTTATATGTCATTCATAAATATTCATCTAGGGCCAGCTGCCAATCGCTTAGAGAAACAGAAACAAGCTAGGTGTTTCTGTTTGCAGTCTTTGTACTAAGCTAAGCTAACCAGCTACTGGCTGTATCCTTCTATTTAATAAACAACATGAGTGGTACCAATCTTCCCATCTAATTCTTGGCAAGAAAGCATATTTCCCAAAACTATTCCTTCAAAAAGTGTTGCACGGGTTAGATTTCAAGTTTAACTATGGTTAGTGCATCCCCATAACATTCATATTTCATTCATTATGCAGTGAGGAATGTCATAAGCCAGGTCACTTTATGGTGGCAGAGATACATTTTTCGATCATCACAAACATGCTGGAGTCATTGTGATTTTATTTTTAGTTAGTTTTTTTTTGGCCGGATTCCAGAACTTACCGCCACCCAAGGCGTCCTTTATAGCAAACTCCAAGCTGTCAGGGAAGAGGAGGATAAGTATGCTAAGGCAGGTAAATCATGTTTTTGTGTGTGCTGTCCTTAAACCTTTTAGAGAAGCAGTTCAACATTTCAACACTACGCAAAGTTTATAGAGGATTTACTCATTTAGTCCATCTTTACTTAATGAGAGAAAAATGCAAGAAAGATGTGATTTACAAATTTTAAATGTGAACTTTAATACCTGATAATGCTGTAATATCATATTAACATACACCTTATCATGTTTTTAGCCAAATGGACGAGAGTAAAATCTGCAGTATTTTCTGGTCTGTTGTTTTCTATTAAGTATAAATTTTGTATTTCCTCATTTATATTTTAAACCCAACAACAGAATCTCATTTGAGCAAAAAAGGATTCATCTAAAGCTCTAACATCATGACCATCTGACCATCTCATTTGCTCATTTCTGACCATCCTCACCTTTCAACATCGGCCGTCATGCCATGAATCAGACGCTGGTAGCCAGCGATTTCCGCCTCCAGCTTCATCTTCACACACAGCAGGTTGTTGTTGTTTTCAACGAGGCGCTCCACCTGTGACCTCACTTCAGTAAGCTCTGCCTCCAGGTCCCGTATCACCTTGTTGAGAGGGCCCAGGCGCATACCATACTCCGCTTTGGTGCTCCTCAGGGTTTCCTCCAGATTGTAGATCTGAACAGGAATACATGGATAATTTTTAGTCATCAGATAACAGACCAAGAAGACAAAACCTTAATAGAACACATATAAAAGGTCTTCTCAGGAGCCTTGACCTTGTTTTGTTGTGCAAGTGCAGATCTGGGTGGCTTGTCAGACTAAGACAGTTCACAGATGTAAAGCATAATAACAGGGCAGTCAGGGATTCTTGTGAAAAGGTGAGGTAGTGTTACAGTCCTGGCGGTGGTTTTATCATTCCTGACAGACTTTGGTTTTATTACATGCCTAAAGAACTTCTTCAAGAATTTTTTCGAGCTTAAGGTTTAAGCATGATTTAAAGTATGACAGATGTCGCTGAGTTTTGTATATGCTGTCGTGTGTATTTTAGTATTTATTTTCCGAAAACTTTTTACTTTTACCTCCTACATTTTTACACAAATACCTGTACTTTATTCTCCTTACATGTTTAAACTTGAAGGGAATTCTTGTTATTTTTTGCATTATTGCGCCCCTTCTCAAAATCGAGACTGGTTCATATCACGCACAACAAACAAACAACAAAAACAATGTACTTTTTCACTTTTAACTTAAGCGAAACAGAATAGTTTGACATCAAGTGCTTCCTACTTCTACCCTAAGTAGAATTCTCCTACTCTCTACTGATACTTAGGCTGTGATGTGTAGTGTGTGTGTGCTGTGTGTGTGTGTGTGTGTGTGGTTACCATGCTGTGCAGACTCTGGATCTTAATTTCCAGAGTCTGCCTCCGTTTGATCAGTTCCTTTAACTCCGTCTTTCCAGACTGCAAGTCCTCGTTGTTTTGCGCCTCCACCACCTTGATGTTTTCAAACTGGAGAGGGCAAGACAAGATGGAAATGGTGAGATACACAATGGGGGAGAGAGGAGTTAGTACGGAAAAAAAAAACACGAGGTCACATACCTTGCTCTGATACCAGTCCTCTGTGTCCTTGATGTTCTTCTGGGCCAGTTTATCGTACTGGACACGGATGTTGTTGAGCTTCTCGGACAGGTTGGAGTTCTTGGAATCAATCTCCACTGTCACCACAGAGTTCTTGATCTTCTCACAAAGGGCATCCACCTCCTGCAACAGTTATAAGCTTCAGTTTCCACACAGTCCAATTTCATTAGCTGATTTTAAACTGTGAGCTTTTCTTTTGCTTCAGTCTCACCTCTTTGTGTTCCTTCTCCAGGCGATCAAGCTCCCCTTTCACCAAATCAATCTCTTTCTGGGTCTGCTGGCGGTTCAGCTTGGTATCCTCAATGGTCTTCTTCAGGTCCTCCACATCTTTCTCTAATTCCTTCCGTGCCTTTGACTCATCCTTCAGCCTGCACACAGGAGGAGGAACCCAACAATGATCCACACTGACTCTTACATTTAATCTCAATTGTCATCTGAATTGTTGACGGTTTTAATGTAGACTACATGAAACTCACTTGTTCTTGAAGTCATCATCAGCCAGTTTGGTGTTGTCAATCTGGAGCAGCAGTTTGGCGTTGTCCATGGTGATGTCTTTGATCTAAAAAAAGGAATGATTGATTACAATTTTAAGACCATTTTATATTATTTTTTAAAATGTGCATGGACGTAAGCATGGAAAATAAATAAATAAAATGACCAACCTGCTTCTTGAGGTCCTCCAGGGGTTTCTCAATCGCATCCCAGTTGCGCCCCTCGGGTGTTTCCCTCTTGGCCAAAATGTCATCGATCTGTTTCTGCAGATCTCCGTTTTCCTTCTCCAGCTGCCTCACCCTGCCCAGGTAGCCGGACAGTCGGTCGTTCAGACCCCGCAGTGTCTTCTTGTCGTCCGCGGGGGCTGGAGGAGCGGCCGGGGCGGCAGGAGTTAGGTCAGCTACAGGCTTTGGTGGAGCCGGAGCTGAGTCCTTTTCCGTCTCGTTGCGCAACACGTTACGCAGCCCCTCCAGGCTCGCCACGGACACCCTGGAGCCCCTTCCCCCGGCTCCACCAAACATACTGGCGGCAGTGTTTGAAGGCATGATTGGTGCTGGATGTGAGAGAGCTGACACTGACTGACAGAGACTGTTTCAGACTGGAGAGTCACCTGGAGGATGTATGACAGCTATGTACAGGTAGGTTTTATACCTGTTTATTACGCACCAATCCGCCCTCAGTGTTACCATTGGCTCCCCACTCCTGGACAAACTGGTGCAGAGTCGAAATTCAAGTATTTCATGTTGACTTTTCCTGTTTTTTTAACAATAACCACGCACTTGTCCTTTTCTGATTGGACGCATGCAGGGTTTTGGGGAGGTGATGAGTGGTCCTTGTCCACCTTAAAAGATGGTGATCCAGAGGGCTGCAGGTATCTCCACCGCTCACCTGTTCAGCTTCCAGTTGTCAGCTCTCTGTTACAAGCTTCAGTATGTCGAAACCAAGAGACTACAGCAGCCAGTCCTACACCCCCGGCACTGCGGGACCGGCCAAGAGCACCCCGACCCACAAGAGAGTGGACTCCTCGGGCAAATCCAGGGAGAAGGACGACATGGTTGGACTTAATGACAAGTTCGTCAGGTTGATTGACAAGGTTGGTCAGTTATATTATTACTATTTGCGATATATCTTTGGTTAAATTAAAATAATTTCCATATAAACACTATTTTATTTTATTATATTTTTATACTTTTTAAAATGTGCTTGACAATTAGGAAATACAGAAGTTATAACTAAATAAATACCCGTGGAATACATTCATTAATATGATTTATTTAATATAATTCAATAGTTTTTTGGGGTTATTTATATTATTTATTTCACAGTATTTATTGATTTTGTTTGGTTTATTCAGTTGTTGTTTTTTATTCGAACCGATGCAAATATCACTCATAAATGTAGATCAATATTAAGTTCAAGATCAAAGTAAAAACAAGCCTACTTAAATAAACACCCGTGGAATACATGTAAACTATTAAATATGATTTATTTAATATAATTCAATAGTTTTTTGGGGGTTAGTTTTATTATTTATTTCAAAGTATTTATTGATTTTGTTTGGTTTATTCAGTTGTTTTTTATTCGAACCGATGCAAAGATCAGTCATAAATGCAGATCAATATTAAGTTCAAGATCAAAGTAAAAACAAGCCTTTGTGGTGGAGAAAACCTGTTTCCAGTCCTTAAGCATGATTTACGGCAGCCTGCCTGTTGTTGTTGTAATTCTCTGACCTAAGGCCATGAATAGGCTTCACTTCATGTAAAGGATGGTGGAGGTTACATGTTGGACGCCACCGTGTGGATAGTTAGATAACTGTAAGTCTGTGGTCTATAAGGGTCATTGTGTCAACATAACCTGAACCACACTGTACTGTATTTAGACAGTGCTGCTTTCTGAGTAACACATATTTTTTGAGGCTACTCATACATTTTTGGAGTGTGCAAAAAAATCCTCACCTGTCATTATCATAATAATAAGATGTAAAACTTGGCATCTAGCTACAGTATATATCCACACCTGGCATTTCTTTCTTACAGCTGTTTTGTTGCATTTCTGTCCACCAGCGCCCCCCCTCACTTTGTCTGTCTCCTGTCTCAGGTGAAAAACCTGGAGGATGAGAACAAAAAGCTCGACACAAAGCTAAAGATCCTCAAGGAGCAGGAAGACTACGATGGAAAAATCGACGAGATCGTCAGGCAGATGGAGAACGAGCTGGAGAGGCAGATCGAGAACTTGCTCCGCGACCAGCAGAAACTGCAGGCCGAGCTGCTCAAGAAGCAGGACGAGGTGGAGGAAACCAAGAAGAGGTCAGCAGGACACGGTGTAGTTGATTTGACTGAATGACTGATTTTCTTTTCTAATTCACTGTTTAAAAAAAACAAGGTGTGCACACATACAAGATGTTCTGATTTCGGTTGTCATTGGCACAATTTAATAATTCACCCTTTATTTTCTCTTGGTTTCAGCTATGAGGACGAGTTTCAGAGGAAAGCTGACCTGGAGAATGAGTTTATCGTCACCAAAAAGGTACTGGAAGCTTCTGAAGATGCTTACTTATTCAACCATGTAGAAACAACAAAACTTGAAATACTTACTTTTTAAAGAACTTCAGACGATTGAAATCAATTGTTGTGTTGTATTGCATAAACTGTGCTGTATTTTATAGATATGTAAATTTTGTGTTTAATGTCTGTTCATAACAGGATGTAGATGAAGGTCACTTGGCGGCAGTAGATCAGGCTCTGGAACTGGAGGACCTGATAGGAAAACTTGACTTCCTAAGGCTTGGCTATGATGAGGTAATGATAAGGTTTATTTTATTTTCATTGGTCTCTCCACTTGTTGTTCTTTCTCTCTAATCTATGAAGCTACAACTTGTTTGACCCAAAGGAGACACTGTAACAACAACTTACATAGTTACATAACAGTTTAATAATAAATATATCAATGTACTGTGACGGTGTGTTCAGGAGGAAACCAACAAATAATTTTTTGTGATGCGTATCTTCACTAAATTATGAGCTAAGAGTAGTAGATAAACAGTTTAAATGATTAGTTATGATGATGATTAAGGGGGTTTGAGCTCATCTGACTTTGGAGTTATGTGAGACAAAAATGGTATGCAACCACAGCTGTACAGGACAACAGGTCATCAAATATAGTGGGAAAGGACTGTATGAGCATGAAACAGACAGACAAACTGACACTGAACATGAAACTAACTTTGTTGTATCCATGTCTGCCCCCTGCAGGAGATCAAGGAGCTGGAGTCCCAAGTCCAGAACGAGACAGTGATCTTGCGCGACAACAGCCAGCGGTCTCTGGACATGGACGAGATCGTTGACGGTGTCAAGAGACAGTATGCCACCATGGCCTCCCGTACCAGGGAGGAAGCTGAGCAATGGAACCAGAAAAAGGTGAGGAAAAGGAAGCTCATACCCGAAGAAGAAGACATAGCACTTGGCTTTTTTAAGCTTACGAAGTCAGATGCTTATACATGTCCTAACACCACTAAATCGATCTAATAAATTATTAAGTGATTCTCAGTACAAAGCCTGTGAGGCCCGATACTGCATGAATTCTAAATATCATTCAAATTTTACTGTTTTTTCCCTTCTTTACCCCCACTTAGATGGATGCCATGGTGCTAAATGTAGGACAGCGGGAGCAGGAAGTGCGTGATTTAAGGAGGGATATCTCAGACATGGTGCGCCTCATCCAGAGGCTCAATGGGGACCTGGAAGCTCTCCAAAGGAAGGTTGGGACCACACAGATAAAGTTCGTAGATAGAATTCAGGCTTAAAGACAGACAGACAGCCTCTGATTTTCTCCTTTTTTTTTCCTGTTAGGAAGAGTCCCTGAAGAAGGAAATCAATGATCTGAGGACAGATTGTGACGGAAACCTGGATAAGGCCCGGGAGGACATCGCCCAGCTGGAGGAGGCTCTGAGGCGTGCCAAGCAGGATTTGGCCGGACAGATCCGCGAACACCAAGAGCTGCTGAACCTCAAGCTGGCCCTGGACATCGAGATCGCCACCTACCGCAAGCTACTGGAGGGCGAGGAGCAGAGGTATGTGAGCAGTGGGAATCTGGGTGAGAGCAAAATGCCTGAGCTTCTATTCCGTGTGTTCTCTCATGTTTGTTGAAATGATGCATTAATGCTTTCACTAACAACTGTCTCTGCTCCATCTCTGTGAAGAATGAACTTCCACATGCGCAACTCAGGTGAGAATCTTTTGTCTTTTTTTTTTCTTTTTCTGACTTTTCTGGAATTAACAGCCATTTCTGGGTTCATTTGGTCACTTCTGGGTGTAAATGACTTTTCCCCCACTGGTGCTGGACAAATGTAAAGATGTGCAAATATTTCCAGAGCAGCTATACCTTGATAGGAGATCACTTTGACTTTAGGTTTTGTCACTTTTCAGACCTTTTACATGCACAAAAAAATCTATATAACATACTAAGAGTGTAAAACACCCCAAAACACAAACAAAATATGGTCTCTTTATTGTTGCAGCTGGTAAAGAGGAGGCTAATTTCAATTAATTATAGCTTAATCTTTAATCATTTTTAATATTTTATTTGTTGATAATATTTTGTATTAATAATCTCAACCTGGAATAGTAACTAAATTCATCAAAACATGTACATCTGAAATGTATTGTAAATGAAGTATATAGTAACATAAAATGGAAATACTCAATAGAAATACTAAGTAAATTACCTCAAAATTGTACTTAAGTACAGTACTTTAGTTAATGTACTCATAGTACAGTGTCCAAATGTACACAAAGTACTGCTTGCCCACTTTTAACTTAAAGCAACTAGCTAAAATCTTCCCTGTCAGGATGTTGTTTGAAGAATTCTGGGAAATGTATGAAATCACTAACTGAAGTAGAGGTAGACAAAGAAGGTTGAGAGGTACCTAAAAACTAAATTTATTATAACTATAATATTTAGGCCAACAAAACAGTAGTGGAGAAAAATGGACACGGTAAGAGAAACAAATCCATTTAATTCATACCAACATTCTCATGACTGATTCATGTTTTATGTCCCACTAAAATCTAACCTCTCTTTCGCTCAGATTTCTAAAAACAAACCAACCAATCCAAGTCCTTGCTTGCACGCAGACGTTCACCCACCAGAGAAGCCACAAGCCCCAGAACCCACCGTCGTCCCGGCCACCACCTATATCCCGACAGACGCCATTATCCTGCCAGTGTACAGCGCCTCCAAGAAACGCCTGCTGATCCGGGTGGAAGTGGAGGAAGGAAGAGTTGTGTCCGAAAGTTCCCATTACACGGAAGAATGACCGGCACTGTCTACAGCATTACAGTATATCCACAAAATGTGAATTTAAAATATTAAAATTAAGTTAAGTTCAATTAAATTAAACAGTCCTAAGTATAATCATGACAGTGACTTTCAGTACAATAATCCTTATCCTTTCTTTGTGTGCTTTCTGGTAAAGTGAACAGTCTAACAATAGCATTTTGGAAGGTTTAACGTTTTTTACTAGAATCTGGGCTTGAAGTTGGAGACGTCTTGTTTATGTCAAGCAGTGTTTTTAAGAAGGTTTTCTTATCTTTGTTTGCATTTGCAAAGACTTGTGGTGTTCTTGGTTACCCTCAGTGTATTTTTTTGGCTTTCTTCTGTTTTTCTTAAACCAGCTAAAGTTTTTTTCGAATGGTGTAAAGGTTTCTTAATGAAGTGACTCATAAAATGAGGATCAAGCAGGTGGTTAAAGGAGAATTTTGTGTTCTGGTGGTCCATGTCTTTTTAATATCAGGAAGGACACACACAAAGTTGTTTCCTAGAATCACGAGAGGTCACGTTAAGGGCGGGCTAACCACCCACAAATACACAATTTTTTTTGTCTGTTTCAGTGGTGCTGATGGAAATGTTTCCTGCGAGCCTTGAATGCTATAAATTTCATCAACTTTGGAACTGTTCTCTTTCCTATCTGCACCTTATATGTCAATATGTCAAAGCAATCACACAGAAATCAATACATTACAGTGTTTACTGTTAAGGTGACAAGTATTTGCAATGGAATACAATCAATAAATAAAGGAACATGAACAATGTGTCTGCTTTCTTCTTTTTTTCAAACACGAACAGTATATTTACTTTAAGAAATATTTAGATATTTGGTAAATATATTTATATTTCTAGCCTGGCTCTGTCCAAAGGTACCATTTAAAACTTAATGATTAACACAATAGATCTCAGCAAAAAGTGTAAAAATTACACACATCAAATGGCAAATTGTAGTTTTTACAATTTCTGTATGAACTAAAATAAACAATCAAGACACAACCTGTTAATCAATAAGCTTTGGAGGTGTTGGTGGGCAGATTTTGGTACCCCAGGACAGAGCCAGGCAGGTAGCCGCTCCAGCTACATTTAACAGAGAGGAGTGAAAGTGGTGTCGATCTTCTCATTCCACTCTCGGAGTGAATATTTACAAAATGTTGAACCATTACTTATATGTATAGAATCCAGACACAATGTACAGGCACAGTGTGTTTGTTAGATAAAACCAGTCAGAGGCTTTCTACTCATTAGTAGCTGGAGCCCGAAAGTCTTGCCCTGTCTTCATTTTTCCCTCCACCTCCAACTCTCCCGGTTCTCCTCTGTCTTCCAGACACGTACGTACACAAAATTATTCCGATGTGGAAAACAAACTTGGCTTAGCAAAACGACACAGACAAAAGACATACAGAGTGTACCCTGACCCCATGATGATATCCCATCTCTCCTAATCTCCCACAACAGTTAAGACCTTGTTTGCTCTTTAATCTGATTAAAGTCTGCTTTTCCAGCTCGCCTTTACTGGCTGTCTCTTGTCCACCCACATACTGTATGTACCCATTTAAAACCACATCTTAATTGAGGGAACAAATAGCATGGCATACACTCTGTTTAATCAAGTCTCAAATAAAAATCTAATTTCCCTTGAATGGATCTTTACAGCAAATTAAAGTTTCATTCTTCAAATACAGTTGGCAAGCAGCAGATGTTTCTCTGAAGCACAAGACTGCTTTTACAGTATTTAACCAACATTTATCTATTATCATATGGCAGAAACTGGAAACTCATAACTTTGTGGATTTTCATTTCTATGTCTCTTTTCCTGCAAATTCTTGCTGAAGCCCTAATTCCCTCATGTCTTGTAGATGTATTACGGACTGTGAATGCACCCTCTCCCCTCTTAAGCTTGCATACCAGTATATAGATAAACACTACTTAGGGAAGTAGGAGTAAACATTGCAAGCAGGTGGGTGAGAGATGGAGAAAAACTATGACCCCTTAAATTTTAAACTGATGTCTAAAGCAGGCAGCACATAGAGAAATGAGGATATACTGTTCGTCTTTCCCCACAATGTATTCATGGTGAAGACGAAAGGAAAATCCAGTCTATTTCTTTTAGATATATTTGAGCTCAATTCAGCTTCAACATGAGATTTTGACCATTTTCTTATATCTTTTAAATTAATCACTAGAGATGTAATTTCTCCTGTCCGATCCTTATTTAAGATCTTAAAATGCTCTTTTTCTCTCTCGCTGTACAGATCTTTATTTGTCTGACCTAATCAGCTCTTGAGATAGCAGTAATATCCAAAAGAACACTTGACTGTCTTATAAATAAAAGCCTGTACAGTATCAGAAATTTGTCTCAACTCTGTATATTTTATCTGTTCACAGAGCTGTCAAAGCAACAAAAGCAGATATTCTAATCACAATCTGTGTATAAACCTGCTTGCCTTGCCTCCATTCTCAAACTGGATAACAAGATAATTTGCTTTAGATGGATTTATTCTTTTGCTCCTTATTTCTAGGCAGCTTAGGAGAATTCAGTAATGTCCAAATGAGAAGATGTATTATTTATAATGAAACAAAGAAAAGACTATTGTGAGATTTTTCACATGAAGTGTTTATGGAAATATAAGAAAAATAAGCTATATTATTATGTTACCTGCTAAACATCAGTAGGATAGCAATGTATGCATGCTGATGCCTAATTAGCCTCACAGAGTGCTAGTATGGCTGTGGCTTCTTAAAGGACCATTTGGACTGGATTTATTTCTCTAAGGGAGGTGGAGTGATTTCATCTGATTTTAATTCGGTCCAGAGTGCGTACGTGGGTAATTTTCCACCCCCGCCCCAGTAATAATTACAGCCTTGTATTGTGTACCTGTGAGGTTTTTTCCCATGATCACCTGCTTTTCCACCTGTATTTTATTTATCAGCCCAGTGTGAAATGTGACTAGAAGTTAACACCAACATAAAGGCCTGTACGATGATAACAATTAAAGCCATCAGGAGAACAAGATCTCGTGATGGACTACAGCTCAGTATTGGTATTGTCTTTTGGCTAATCCTACAAAAGGTCCATCTCTATGACAAACCATATCCTGTTATTTTTTAGTGGTTAAAAGAATGAGTTAAATTACGAAGAAGCAGAGACAATATTTTAGATTTTTTTGTATCTCCTGATACAGTAATATTGTCAGTTAAATTATGAAAATCTGTGGTAAACCTTCAGAAAGTACAGTTACCTAGTGTAGTGGTGGTAAAACAATAGGTGGCCTTTTTTTGGGATCATTGATAAATAAATTGTGAAAGAATCAACGCAAATGTGTTATTCCCCCCTGGTGGCCTTGATCAATATACTGTGGGCATGATGTTCATCAACCCTAGCAACATAATTTCTTGCAGAATACATCCCCATAAATATTCATATTTATCAGTATTTCTTTAGACTGCCACCTCCTCCTCTGATCCCTGTGTCCGTCGCCTCCATCTGTCTCTGAGTTTCTGCATTAGTTTGTAAGCTGGTTCGGTATACTGCCTGTTAGCCAGGCCGAGAACCAGCGGCACCACAGCCATGCTTCCAATACCGGTGCACGAGAGCACGATGTGGGTGGTGGAGTTCCACTTGGTGTCACTCATCAAGAAGGCTATGCAGACATGCATGTAAATGAGGTAGGGAACCCAGCATGCCAGAAAGGTCAGCGACACCGCCACCACGCAGCGAGTGTACCGCAGGTTCAGCCTCTGCTCTCGGTCTGAGGCCTGACTTCCTCGCTCCACTGAGCGATGGAGACGACAAATGTCCTTCAGCTGGCCTCGGGTGATCCATAAAACGCGGCCAGTCATGCCAGCGATGGTAAGAATAGCAGGTAAGACGAGTCCATACACCTCCAAGTAGATAAAAGCATTGGGAAAAACTCGCCTGTACGAGCAGCACGTGGTTCTGTTCACCGAACAGTTTGAAAGTGCCATTATCTGTTGGCTGCTTGCGCAACAGCCGTTCCAATCTGGCCCTGTCCAGTTATTCCACCCAAAAGCAGGTAGAGATGCGTACAGAAGCGGTGGCGCCCACACCACCAGCAATGCTAGAGGAAAACTACGATGCATCCACAAGTTATTGTAATGCAAGGGGTCGACGATGCAAATGTAGCGCTCATAGTGCACCATTACTAGGTTTAAAAGGAACGCCAGGAAGAGGAAGTTTGGGAAAATGTGAGCCACCATGCAGGAGCTAAAACTCAACTCCCGGTTCAGACCCATCAACGGTATGAAAGGCAGCGCCACGCCCGTGCACAGATCTGCCACTAACAGGCTGAGGAAGAAGTAGTTGGGCGTGTTGTGGAGCTGGCGGTTCCAGGCAATGCCCAGGATGATGACCAGGTTGGCCAAGATGATGGAGGTCGACAGCGGTATTGTGATGGCATAGATGAGCTGCTCCCTAGACAGCAGGGCATGGGAGTCGTTGCAGTCCATCATGTGTGAAATCTGCAGACTTCCTCCCATTCGCAGCCCGGCTCCACTCCCATTAAGTAACAGCTACCCTGTTGGGAAGGAGAAACATTATTAAAGTAGCAGTAGTGGGTGAACTGAGAGTTTATGCTAACCTATTTGGTGAACATCTAGTTTGTTGTTATTACTCAAGATGCATAAATAGGCATAAACAGAGGAAATGCAATTGAGTGGAGTTGAAAAAAGAGATTCATTAGAAAATGTAGCAGGCAGGGAAGCAGAGTGGATTATCAGAAATTGATTGTGGAATGAAACCAAACCGGAAAGAGAAGATAACAATACACTGTGAAGCTCAGAACAAGTACTGCAGATGTTCAAAGAAGATAAATACGTCCATTCAGGCTGCGGAAACTTCTTGAAAGCCATTTTAAGTTAATAAAAGCTTAACATTCAGTTAAGCTCAAACAATTCCAGGGTTCAAGAGTCAACTCAAGCCTAGTCATGCTACCATGACAGGAAACTATAAACTACCAAGGGGGATAAAGACAAAGACAAAGACAAATCCTCCTGACTGAAATAAAAGGAGCATGTTGTCAAACATGCTCAAAAGGGCAAAGATTTCAGACCCCTCTCAAGTGGAGAGGAGATTTTAAATGATTTATTCTCACTGCATTTGAAGTGATGAGCAGAGAAAGATGACATTAATGAAAACAGCAGGAGCTTAAGGTAGCTGGAGGTATAGTCCTGTTTCGGTTTAGTAATACACACACTGTTTCTGTCTCATCAGGTGATTGATGCTCACCTGCATATTTGTATGGCTACTTTAGATAAATCATGGAGACCAAAATGATTGCATAAATCCATAACACCCTTACCCTGTATTTCATTATTTGTATGCCTGTAGCAACAAACACGAAGCAGCTGTTTAAGATTAAGATCAACTGCAGTACTTTTATTAAATTTGCCACTTTTTTCTTTTCATTTTCTCCACCAAAGTAAGCCTGTTTTATCTGTTAAAGCCTGAAGAAGAATGACACAGAACACCCTGTTCGATGCTATAGATAGCTTCATACTATATAACACATTTTCTCTTTGGTGTCTTTGTATGCAATAGAGAAACTTTCTGCAGGCAAGTCAGTGAAGAGGACAGTTACAACACAACAACTATAGTCTGCAGTGTTCCCGTCTCTCATCTCTTGAACACAGAAACAAATTTAACCCGTTTGTTATCTAACAGCCACTGTCATTTAATAATTCATCAGATGGGACTGGATGGGATGGAGTTACACCTCTCTTTGTATCTACAGTATTATATTTGAGAAAGTGATACAAGGCCTTGGAGGCAATGGCGGAGGCAAGCGGTGGCCAGTGGTGGCCATGGCACCACAAACAGCACCACTGCTGAACCATTTCTCCACTGCTGCAGTTACAGGGAATCTTCGCAGAATGCCGGTGGGAAAATAATTATACCGTTGTACTGCCGCTCCCCAACCCACTCTGTGTCCAACTGAGGGGGGAGCTAACATAGCTCAAAGAGTTTTGTTTCACATAAAAATTAATGGGAAGCAAATTCATGTCTAACAAGGTTGTGATAGTTAACTAAAACCAAAGTAAAGACTAAAACTAGGTGTGAAAAAAACATTTCAGTTAACGGAAATAAAAAACATAACAATAAAAACTAAAACCAAATGAGCAAACCCACTCTTGGAACTAACTGAAAATAAAATGAATTGAAAACAAAAATTGAAAAAAAAAAAAAAAACTAATAAAAAATACGAAGTATAACTCTGATGCAAAAATCTGTTGTTGATGAAAGTAGGACCAGAAACATAAGAACCAAACTACAAGGTGATGATGATGACAAACAGTCAGTCCAATCACATCCATGGATTCATTTCTGTAATCGTCGAGGAAACTATCTTGGAAGATGGAAACACTGACATTCAGCAGCTGGAAATATTCATATTATTTTTATTTTAACAAACAAACAGAACTGGATTTTAATTTGTAAGTCTGAATTTTGGGGAGAAATACCAATTTTGTGGGGAGTATAGCAGAAGAGTAATATAACTAGTAGTGTAATTAATTACTGTTGGCAGGGAGTAATAAGTAAAGTAATAATATGAGTAATACATTTTCTGAGTAAATATCCCAACACTGTTTTTAAACAGTTTTTTTCTAAACTTAAAAATAAGATTTTAAAACACAACTCTTTGCAACTGTGCAACAATCATTTATATGAATAATGAAACATTATATATGATAATGATGTTGGATTAACACTGCAACATGTCCATTACATACAATCTGCAAGCAAACAAGCTCAATGAAGGGAACTTTATGATATCAAAGTCCTGTTACAGCAATTACTGTCTTTAAAAGATGGACACACAGAATCTAATTAGTCTTTCAACATTATTGCTTAAATGCAGTTTAAGATGTATTTTATGCTTTCTGCCTGGTTATGTTGGATTTATCTGTAACTTTTGACTAAAATGTATTATCAAGCCATTTTCCAGAAGTGTCTTTTTATAAGAGGCACTTGTAAAGAGTTTTTTCAAGAAACAAAATGGCGCTTCACAATTCAAATAGTTCAAATAATTTGTAACCCTGCAGTCGTGTAATGTAGAAACTGATGACCTAAAACACATCACCAGAAATACATAATGAAATCTAGCAAAATATGAACTTTTATAATAAGAATAAGAGTTTTACCTTGGCCTGAACAGTCCAGTCATGTACCCTTTGACAAAAGAAATGCAAATAAAATACAGCTTCCTATCACTCTCCTGATATCTTCAAGCCTGTTCCCCTGCATGTCATATCCACAAGTAGAAGGTGCAGCCTCCACCATAAACTTCAGGAGCTTCTTCTTTATCCTTCAGGATCCTTTCTCAGTCAAGTCAGCTACTGCAGCCTTTTCAAATCCTCCCCACAAACCAGGAGAGAGACGGAGCGAGTGAGGCTGTTTCTCTCAGATATACTTTAAAGGGGAAGTGCACACTGAAGGAGGAGAAAGGAGGAGGTGACAGTGGTTATACTTTGTCTGTCTTATTCCTGAGGGGGGGGTTGCCGGTCACGCTGAAGATGAGGCAGCAGTGTCCACTAACCCTTCACCTACTAACTTTTTCCTCTTCCTCTTGAAACTCTCTTTCATCCGTACAGTCACTATTGTTAGGACTGCAGTGTGCATCCATGAATGGGAGAGGATGGGAAGCTGTTATCACTGCAGCCTATAAATGATAAGAACATTCCTGGGTATCACCAGTAGGTCTGGCATGTGGTTTTGGTTTCACACCTTCCATGATGGCCCCCAGACTCTTCGAGACAGCTTCTGCAACATGTATCATAGACGTATGAAGTGGAAAAAACATCCAACTGTTTATATATTTTTTCCTTTGTTACACATTTACAAGCCAAGAAAGAGGTGTGAACAACACACAGCATGAATATCCCTCAGTCCTCCAAGAAGTTTGCAAATGCTTTTTAGCATTATCAGGTGAAAAATAATATTGTTTTCCCAAATATTTAAAAGCTTTAAAAGCTATGTTGAAACTATGTTCTTTAGAAGTGTAGACAGGAAGTTTGGGATAGGTCAAGAGTTTTGAGGAAGTGGGGGTATAAATTATAATTTTGTATTCCTTTCACAGTGAATGGTTTTATAGGAATTAATAAATAAATGGGCACAATATATGAGTTAAGACATGTATAAATGAATATATAAATAAGTGAAGAAATAAACTAATACAGAAAATATTAAGAAACCAATAAATGCAGAGCTGTACATTATACTATACTGTTACTCTATCATGCACATTTATTCATGCATTTATCAATATATTTCCTGTGTCAATTTTGGGCCCCGAAAAAATAGTAGCCTGCATCACAGCCGGTAACAAAAAAGCTGGTTCAGGCCAATTTAATTAACGGTTTTTTTGCTTTGCTTTTTAAATACAGCAAAAATGGCAACAAATTGATTTTAAGAAATGTCATAGTCTTGTAATGTAATATACAATATATAATAGTTGAGAAAAATAACAAACTTTATGATCATACAGAACCTGAGGCTCTTAGGAATAACGTGTACTTATAGTTAAAGCTTCCTTCTACATCTATATTTAAATTACAAGCAGATGCTATTATTATTTTTAACTGTATTAAGCGTCTTCAAATCACAAACAGGCATCATAGCTGACAATGAATCCACATAGCATACATTAACAGAAAAGATAAAGAAAGATGAACGAAAAACAAAAAAACAAACAAAACAACAACAAAAATATCTAAAATATAGCGAAGCTAGTTAAGTATTTAGCTGGAGACAGGAGGCAGTTAGCATAAAGACACAATTACAAAGCTAGTCAAAAAAAGTTCAAAATTATACCTACAAATGAATTTAATCTAACTGCTTAACACATTATATCTTATTTATTTAATTCATATACAAACAGAAATTTAAAAACAACAAGTTGTACACCCTAACTGTGGCCGTGCAGAGTGGCTAGCAGTAAGCTAAAGTTAGCGGGTTAAGCTTCTTTATTTTCTAAATGTCTATTTGTTTAAATTCAACTTGTGAAAAAATAACATCACTTTACTTTAACATTAAGGTGTTAAAAGTGATTTTAGGCTATTAAATCTGATACAGCCATACTGTACACTGTGTAGGTTAAAACAAATGCCAAGATATATTTGCTCCTTTTATTTGGCCTGGGACTGACCTAAACATATACATACAACAGTGTGTACGTCACAATTCATAACAGCTGTCACACACGTCTCATATTTAAACACAGCGTTGGATGGAAGGCCGGTGGTGACCTGTTTTGTTGGCCAAACACGGAAGACTCCTTCGCTGATAGTCTGGAGCAGACCTGGTGCTGGTGGAGATGGATGAGCTCCAGTCAGATAATACTTTTTAAACAGAAACGTTCCCGAGCCTGAGAGCATCTGGGAAGACACTACGCAGGGAGGACAAGCTGGACGTGAAACCACAACATCTTCACATTACAAAGGAGGAGACGGAGCATCTTGGCTTTCCTGGAACAACGGGTCCCACTCAACAGAACATCAAAGATATAATCTTCTTTTTTTTTTATTTATACACAGTGGGAAAATGGAATGTGATATGATTCATTAAAGGTGCATTCAGTTGCCTGCAGACCTCGGCTGGCAACGGAGATCAAAGCTTTTTAGTCGAGCTAGCTAATGTTAGCAAAAAGGCGCGACTCTCCTTCCTTGCTCCAGAACACATTGAAGTGTTCTGATTATTCAACACAGGGCCGACAGTGAGCCAGAGGCCACAAATTAGCTGTCAAAATGTGAAAATAATATTAAATATATCTAAAAATACACTCATCTAAAATATAAAACTAATACTTGGCCCACCACATACTACATCCTCCAAAATGTCAGTTGAATCAACACATCGCAAACATAGTTTCAACAAAACTGAACATCATGAGCTTTATGAAGGACTGTATTAGTTTTAGCTAGGTTTACATAATCAACTGGAAGCTGAGGGTATGCAGGCTCGGGGAGTAACAGAATTACGTAATCGGAAAACAAAAAAAGGTAACTAACCCATTACAGTTACAGAAAAATATTAAGTAAAAATGTTTATTTTTAGCAGGATTACAGTTTTGAAATACATTTTAAACTAGAGAATAATATATATTAGCATGCATATGAACCATGCACACACATTACAACACTTTACAAGTCTCACAACACCAATCTGGTATTAAGTGAAACCATAGCTATCATATATATATGTATATATATATATATATAAAGCTGTGAATATGGTCTATCTATAGGCTACTTTCTTTAAAGATACACTGAAGAGAGGACATATTGTTGATGCTAAAAATCCATTTTATTATATATTCCTCCCAACCCTGAGGGTGTGATATTCCACTGATATTTATCCTGTAAGTGACACTTTTAGCAATTGCAGGTGTCACATCTTCACCTTAAACAACAACAAAACTCTTCAGCTCTTCTAACTAACTGGGAATAATTTTTTGCTTACACTTCAGGTCAGGACACCCTCCTTTCAGCACTTTAGTTTCCACAGATATTTGAGTTTTAATTACTTAAATTGACACCTTTCAACAACTTATGACTAATAGGACCGCCTGAATCCTGTATAAACAATATTTTAAGTCTTAACCTGATCTTTTCTCAAATGCTGCATGTTTTTGTGAAATAGATGTATTTTAAATGGGTTTGTCACTTGCCTCCTCTTCCTCCAGACATGTTTACCTTGGCACCAGCACCTGTGTCTCTCCGCTCCACCGATTTGTTCGGCATCTGTTGTCAGCACAGCAGCACTCTGAGAATATGAGCTGCGATTTAATGGATCAGGCTTTAGCCCTGTCCAGGTCTAAAGGTGATAATCCTTCTGGCCACTCCTCGCCTTTGTCTTCACACAGGCTGACCTTTGAGGCCAAACACACTGCTTTGACAGATGAGTAAAAGATCCTGCTGCCACTGAACGCCACACTTGACAGGTGTTACTTGAGCTGTATGAAATGCTGGATGAATCCCATGCAACAATACAGGTCTTTCTTGTACTCTGTGCTTCATCTTCTGACTTTACACTTCCAGACTCAACCATGTTTTTTTACAGTGCCTGCAAGAAGTGCACAAATATGTTTGTACGTGCAAGAGTTTTACTGCCTTCCTGTCTATCTGGGAGAGTTATGCGCGTACACATTAGTGCACATTAGGACATGCACAATGAGAATCCAGGTACAAGGAAGAAGCACTTGGGCACAGGATACCGAAGAGTTAAAAATAGAGTTTAAGGAATACAACAGGTTTTGGCCTTGAAACAAGACTTTTAAAAATGTTTTCCTTTCTGTTAAGCCAC